TCTGAATGCCAACCTTATTCTTTAACTCTGTGAATTGAACAAGGCTCTTATCTTCCCAGAGTCTGTTTTCTCTTGTGTAAAATAAGGACACAGTATTCAAGTATCCTCATTATTTACAGCTTCTAAAGTTTGTTGATCTTTAATCTTAACCCTGAAAGAGGGCATTATCAGGAAGCACTTAGGGTTTAAAGAAGCAAGACTCTGAGAGAGAATACTAGGAAGGAAAGATGAGAGGGGAAGTAGATTTATGCAGAGTCAAAGAATTAGAGTGCTTTCTGTTTACAAGAAATCAGTCCCCAGGCCTTGCCTGGGAACTGCTCATCTTTCTGTCACTCCAAGAGTAGCCTCTAAAGAGGCCTTCGATAGCCATGTGTCAAAGACACACACATGATTCTTCAGTCTTTTTAGCCCCAATCCCCAAGGCTAGGGTCTTAGACCCACTAAAGAAGAATCATGTTTTTCTTGATCTGGGCCTAGATGCCTTCCTCCTTTTTGACTGTGGTGTGTCTGTATCTCTTCAAATTTATGAAACAAATTTACGGAACAAAGACCTTAGCCTAGTTTTCTAGAGTGTAGGACATAGACTTCAAATTTTAGATATTTTGTTACTTTGTATTTTTGTTACATTGACACTTTGAGGTTTCTGTAGTATTAGGTTAAGTGTATTAATTCTAACTCCAGCCTCCTTGGTAAAACTTTTCTCTGCCTACTCCTTCTACCTAGAAATGTGTCTTGACATTTTTCAGGTCAGATCAGGTCAGGAAGAATGATTGCCATTAGGAGTACAAGGAGCTGGGTGGGCAGTAGCCATCAGTGTTGTCCAGTTCTTATCCTGAGATGAGTCAACTCACGGAGTCAGTCAAGCATTCGATGAGGAGCTACAGGTCAGTCAGGCTCTCCCTTGACCCTCATGTGTCAAGAAGCTTCTCTTACCTTCAGACAGAACTATAGATGACACCAAATAATTAGGTGTGTCTCTGATAAGCCTAAATTCTATTTTATCTCAGATGAAGACATCTATGGAATTTCTGAATTATTCTTCAGTTCTCACTAACAGTACCAGTGTTATGCAGACATTAAAACATCCTTACCAAATCATAGATTATGCCAATTGTTGTGCAGGATTTTATCTTAGAAAATTAGTAGAGAGTTACTCAAGTTTGTCATGCATTAAGTCATTTAGTTTATTGCAAGGTAGTCATGGCAAGGCACACAAGTAAGATCTCATAACATTCATTTAAAACTGGAGAATCAGAATCTACAATTACAATGTTAATTTAATGGTTACAGTGCCAGTCTTTTAGACTTAAGTCTTTTACCTTTTACCAGATGTCTCGGGAGGAAAGTTTGACCACGGCTCAACCTCAGGGGAGGTCCGTCATAGCTAGGGTTCAAGGTCTCCGGTGGCTAGCAGAGCCTCAGCAGTTTCTCAGTCTTCAGAGAGAGTAAGAGACTAGAGAAAGAGCCCATTGCCTCTGTCTTCTCTCAGTGAGTAAGCAGAAATTTAGGGTTTACTTTGTATTTTGTTTGCTGATGTTCTGGTTTCTTAGCTGGAAGTTTATATTTTTTCATTTTCAGTCTTTCTTCTAAGTCATGTATTCTAGGTTATGAATTTCCTTTAGACATTGCTTTGATGCATTAGAGAAGTTATGCCATATGTTCCTTATTATTTCACAATATCGTCTCATTTTTTAAATTTCCTTCTTGACTCAAGTAGTTCTGGAAAAAGTGTTGCTTAATTTTCCAGCATTTAATGATTTCTGTCTATATTGTCTTCTTAATTTCTAATTTAATTTCACAGTGGTCAGAGGAAATACTCCATATGAATTCAATTATCTGAAAGTTTTGGACCCACATATGATCAGTTTTGGTAAACTTTCCACGTGCATTTAATAATAATGTGGATTCTTTCATTGTTGGGTTCAGTGTTCTAAATACGTTATTTGCTTATTGTGCTGTTTTAAATCTACTATATTCTTTCTCATTTTTTGTCTCTTGATATATCTGCTACTGAAAGAGTTATGTTAAAATTCCCTATTTTGATTATGAATTTATCTATTTCTTCTTTTAATTCTGTGAAGTTTTGCTTTATACATTTTAAAGCTATGTTTTGACATTTACTTGGATTTTGATAGCTATATCTTTATTAAGGGTTTCTCCTCATTATAATAATTAAAAATTTCTCATTCTCAACAACAAAAATAAAATAAATTATTTAAAAAGTTCTCATTAACTCAATTAATGCATCTTGCCTCAAAGTCTACTTTGTGTGATATTAATATAGCTACATCAATTTGTTTTGGTATGTGTATAGTACATACATTTTCCCTGTCATTTACTTTCAACTTTTCTTTTACCCTCTTATATAAGTGGAGTATCTTGCAAGCAGCGAATAGTTGAACTCTGTTGTTGTACCTAGATTGATTTTTACTTGGAAAATTTAACCCATTTACTTTAAATGCAATCAATGATATAGTACAGTTAATATCTACCATTTGCTTTAAATTGATCCACCTCATTCATGTTCCTTTTTCTCTTTTTTTCCTTCTTTGGATTAAATATTTTTGTTATTATTCCAGATTTTCCTCTTATTTTCAGTAGCTTTACTATGGTATACCTTGGTGCAAAAGTTTCTATACCCTTCTCGGAGTTCTCTGAGATACTTGAATACAGGAGTTGATATCTTTCATCTATTTTAGAAAATTCTCATCCATTATCTCTTTAGATATAACTTCTGCTGCCTTCTCTCTCTACCTTTCTCTCTCCTTTTCTTTCTTCTCCTCTCTGTTTCTCCTCTTTCTATGACTCCAATTCTGTAGGTTAGACTTATTGCACATGCCACAAATATATTGTATGTGCTGTTCTTTTTTCAATTCTTTTCCTGTCTGTGCTTCAGTTTGAAATTTTCTATTGATGTGAGTTCTAAGTCACTAATTCTGTCTTCTGCTATGTCTAAACTGCCTTTAAATCTATCCATTCAATTCTTAATTCTAGATATTTTATTTTATGTTGGAGATTGTTCTTTTGATTCCTTTTATATAGATTACAATTCTGTTATAATTTTCCATCTTTTCATCAACTTTTTCTCTCCTTTTCTCCATTTTCCTAAATATGTTGATGATAATTAAATTCCTAATCTGCTAACTAGTATCTTTTTCATCTGTGCTTCTGCCTTCTTTTATATTTTCTTCTTAGTCATGTGGTCCCATCTCTTTATATGCCAGGTAATTTTTTTTAATTGAATGCTAGAAATTATATATAAAAACATCTGAAAGGATTCACCTTTTTTTCTGCTAGGTAGACAGGGGAGGGAATGATGATCACCCAAATATCTATATCCAACATAGAACTGAACTGGAACAAGTCTTGATATCAATCAACCTCTTGTTTGCCTCTATTCCTGTCATGGGACTTCAAGGCTTTCAATAGACAACCTGGGATGTCTTTGGTTGCTTAGTACCAGGAGAATGAAGAAATATCTGTTCTGCTTCCCAAGATGTTTGGCTAAGTTCTTTGGCCTCTTTCCCTTCAAACCTTCAATATTGGGCATGTATTTGAGGAAAAACCCTGCCATGTGATAGTGACCAGATGTCTTCAATTTTGTCACTCCAGGCACATATAACCACCAAAGTTTTACTGGCTTCTCTGTCTCAACAGCAGCCCTATGCCTTGCCTAAACCCAGATTTTCAACCATTAGCCCATGCATTGAATTGGGGGATTCTCAGAAAAAATGCATCTCTAGATCCTTAGCTAAACTCTGAAATAATCTCCATTGGAATTTTGGCACATTTAATCCCATGTTGTTTCCACAAATGTCAGATATCTTTTATAAAAATTTATATTATCTGTAAAGTTTTTTCAGTTTTATCCCATAGGAGCATGGGCCTATTGTGAACACCTCCATTCTTCATGAAAGCAGAAGGTTTACTTGTGATTCTCTGCTTCACTGTACTTAAAGTTCAGCACTTATGGAAGTGATTTAACCTTTCTTTTCATCATTTTTCTCGCAGGTAAAAAGGAGAGAATAATAACACAGTGGGTCCAATTTGTGTGTTCAAATGAATTCAGAGAAGAAATATAACCTATCACTACTCTGTGGAGGTGTTAAATATACATGATATTTTGTTTCTCCCAGAGTACACAGAACTCCAACTTTTGAAGATAGCAACTCCCGATGTGAAGACCAAGTATAGATCAGATTTTTGGGGGGAAGGAGCAATATTCTGTGATTCTCACTGAAATCTGGCCAATGTTAACATCATCTGACATCAACTATCATGTAAGATTGCATAATCTATCAAAGAGGAACATATTATTTGAAATGAAGTAGCCAGCTCTGGAGTCTGAAGGCTAGAATCATAGGTAAAGTATTCTGGGGTAAACCATGACCTGTCTCATGCTGCACTCATTTTCAGCTCTGAATGAGGGCACAAAAAGAACAAATCTGATTGGCCATGGGTCTATGGCTGCCACCTGAGGCTTCTGATGAGCTCGCCCCAGTTCCTGATTCTTTCTCTTTGCTCTCATCCTTCCAACTCCCAGGTCAATGGCACTGAGTGTGTGGTTTACAAGAAATCAGTCCAGCTGCTGCTCCATGGCAATGACTCTAACTGAACTCCCTGATCTGCTGATTCAGAGAAAGACACTGTCAACTGCTCAGGGTAGAGATTCTGAGGTTTCTAGTATAGCCTTCTCAGACTCTAGGCAGAACTCCACATTTCAGAAAGTTAACTCTGATAGGACCTATGTAACAGCTTCTACTTCAGACCACTCACTACATTATTTCAGTGAGATTCAATTTCCTGTTTTTCAACCCCACTGACCTTCTATCATGTTGTTTCTGTAGAAAGCCAGACCCAGCTGCTGCCCCTGTGCAACAACTCCATGTTTGATCTATCAGACTCTGCAGCCTCCGAGGACAGTGCTCTCAACTGCTCAGGACAAGAACTCCTTCTCTTCCCTATATAAATGTCCCATTGACAAAGTTCTCTCTCCCCAGAAAACAGACAGCTCCGCCTGGTGGATGGGGGAAGACGCTGTACTGGGAGAGTGGAGATCTTTTACCAGGGCAAATGGGGCACCATCTGTGATGACCACTGGGACCTGAACGATGCCCATGTGGTGTGTAGACAGTTGGGCTGTGGACAAGCCATCAATGCCGTATCTCAGGCTCTCTTTGGGAATGGATCAGGGGTCATCTGGCTGGATGATGTAAACTGCACAGGACAAGAATCCCATGTATGGAAGTGCCCTTCCCAGGACTGGGGGAAAAATGACTGCAATCACCATGAGGACGCAGGAGTCAGCTGCTCAGGTATGGTAAATTCACTGTCCACTATCTGGGAGAGTGGAATGTTCCAGGGAAGCTGGTTTCTGATTTCTAGGAAAAGTCTGAGTCTCAGAAAGGTCTGAGATTTGTACCCATCACCCCTGACTGCTCAATGCAGGTGTAAATAACAGGCTTCATTTACTTCCCACTTGCAAGTCTCAACTGCTAGTATTTCATTCTCCAGTTGTCTTACCTGACAAGATGGTTTGTTCTAGTATCATCCAAATTAAAATCGAGCTTCATAATTTTTTTTATTGTACTTTAGATGAAGGTTTACAGAGCAAATTAGTTTCTCATTAAACAGTTGATACCCATATTGTTTTGTGATATGCATTCTCAACTCCATGAAATGTTAGCACTCTCCCCTTCTCAACCTTCAGTTCCCCATTACCAGCCTTCCTGTCTCCTCCTGCCTTCTCATCCTTGTCCCTGGGCTGACTGCCCATTTAGTCTCATTTTGTTTTAAGTGCATGTCTAATATTTGGCTGAAGGGTGAATCTCAGGAGTGATTTCAGTACTGAGATAAAAGAGTGTCCGGGGGGTGGCGGGGCCAAGATGGCAGGGTAGTCAGATGCTTCTGGTGGACCTTCTTACAACAAAGACCCAAAAAAATGAGAATCGATTATATGTGACAATCTAGGGGCCCTGAACATCAAAGGCAAAGTTGAGGAACCCGACTGAGTGGCAGGTGGAGGGAGAGACAGTTCGGAAGCAGAGAGGAATTGCCAGACCTGACCCAGCGAGAGCCTGAGCCCTGCAGGCCTGATCAGCTCATGGCTGAGCAGTGAGGCAGGCAAACAGTGGTGCTCAGCAGGTGTATTCTGCACCGGGAGAGACCCAGTGGCAGAGAATCTACTTGGCTACCCAGAACCAGTGAGAAGCAGCCCTCGATCGGCAAAAGATAAGTACTTGTATCTGGCCTACCAAGTGAATAAAAAATACTTCCCTTAGGGAAAAACCTCTCTCCCATTTACCTCCCTGCTCTGGGCTCTACATTGGGTCCTGGACCAGCTTCAGCAATTGCTGAATCCCCTGGGCCAGAAGTAGAATCCGTCACACACCCCAAGCTATTCTCCTGGCCTTGGAGAGTGAACAAATTAACAAGCAGGGGAAAAGATAAACTGCTGGCTCCCCTAAGCCAGGAATTCAGGGTAGGCACAGCTACTTTGCCTAGGCACAGGCATAAGGGATCCACAGATTTTGAGTGCCTTTCTCTCTCCATTTCAATGGCATAGGCCCTCATTACTGCAGTACAACAGGGTATATACCTGAAGTCTAACTTCAACTGATTCAGCTGTGAAGTGACAGGTTAGTGATTTTTTGACACTGCTCTGCCCATTAAGCAGGGTCTTCACCTATCCACATCAGGGGATTGAGGACTGGTGGAACCAACCATGCCACCTAGCCACCTGCAGTAGCAGCCCAAGAAAAAGAAGCTGCCGCCCAGTCCTTACAGCCAACAGCATCAGGTGCTCATAGTCCAGTTGCAAAACCCACCCTCCTCCGCTCTCTAGGGAACAGGGACATGCCTTCTTCCTGAACACTTGGGGGCAGCCATCTGCCCCCTGCCTTGCTCAGAGTGTGTCCCCCTCCTACAGAAAGATGCCTGTGCCTACACCAATTACCCATGCCTGTCTAGGACTGTAGGTGAAGCCTACACCACACACGTGGTGGCTATCTACCTGGGCACATGAGCTGAATCCATACAGGACAAGTGGGTGGACTCCTGAGCTCACATACCTAGTAACAGATCTAACCACCTGGTGACAGGACTTTAGAGCTTCAAAGGTGTCAGTAATCAAACTAGCTTACACAAGCAGCCTATTTAAGTATATCAAAACAAAACAAGAAGCGAAGACACAGTAAGCAAACATAAAATAAATAAATATAATAACTTATTGATGGTTCGGAGACAACAGTCAATATCAAACCACATAAAGAAGCAGTCCAGGAAGGCTTCAGCAAGCTCCCAAAATAAAGAATCAAGAAATTTTCCAGAGGAAGAAAATTTCTTGGAATTACCAGAGGCAGAATACAGAAGATTAACATACAGAACTCTTCAAGAGATTAGGAAGGAAATTAAGCAAAACGCAAAACACACAACAGAGGAAATTAAAAAGATTAGAGAAGAGCATAATGACAAATTTAACAGGCTGCAAGAATCCATAGAAAGACAGCAGTCAGAAATCCAGAAGATTAACAATAAAATTTCAGAATTAGACAACTCAATAGAAAGTCATAGGAGCAGAATTGAGGCAATAGAAGTCAGAATCAGTGAGACTGAAGATAAAGCACTTGACACCAACTTATTTCAGGAAAAATCAGGTAAAAGAATTTTAAAAAATGAAGAAACCATAGGAATTATGTGGGACTTTATCAAGAGGAATAACCTACGAGTGATTGGAGTACCATAACAGGGAGGGATAACAGAAGATACAGAGAGAATTGTTGAAGATTTGTTGGCAGAAAACTTCCCTGATATCATGAAAGATGAGAAGATATCTATCCAAGATGCTCATTGAACCCCACATAAGATAGATCCCAAAAGAAAGTCACTAAGACATATTATAATCAAACTGGCCAAAACCAAAGACAAAGAGAGAATTTTAAGAGTGGCTAGGGATAAATCAAAAGTCATCTACAAAGAAGAGTCAATAAAAATAAACTCGGACTACTCAGCAGAAACCATGCAGGCAAGAAGGCAATGGGATGACATATATAAAGCCTTGAAGTAAAAAAACTGCCAGCCAAGAATAATATATCCAGCAAAACTGTCTCTCAAATATGATGGTGAAATTAGGGCATTTCCAGACAAACAGAAATTTAGGGAATTTGCAAAAACCAAACCAAAATTAAAACAAATCCTAAAGGGAGACCTCTAGTTAGAAAATCAATAACATCAGATAAAAACCCAAGACTAGAACACAGGACAGAGCAACCAGATATTAACCCAGATAGGGAAGTCACAAAAATAAATCAAAGCTAAAACACTGAAAATAGGAAAACAGATGTCAATATGTAAACTATGGCAACATTAAAACAAAAAAGAGGGACTTACAAAAGGTAGACATAGATTTTTCATATGAAGAGGAAGACAAGGCAATATAAAGAAATAAAAGACTGGTATAAACTTAGAAAAATAGGGGTAAATATTAAGGTAACCGAAAGGAAACTAACAATCCTACAAGTCAAAATAAAAAACAACAAAAATATAAAGACTCAGCAAATACGAAATCAACAACATTGAAAAAGATGAGAACAAAATACATAAAGAAAATCAACTCAGCACAGAAAATTAAGTGGAACAAAGAAACTGTGAACAACACACAAAAAAAGACATCAAAATGATAGCACTAACCTCATACCTATCAATAATTATGCTGAATGTAAATGGACTAAATGTACCAATAAAGAGAGAATGGCAGAGTGGGTAAAGAAACATGATCCATCTAGATGCTGCCTACAAGAGATACACCTTAGACTTAGAGACACAAACAAACTAAAACTCAAAGGATGGAAAAAAATATATCAAGCAAATAACAGTCAAAAAAGAGCAGGAGTGGCAATATTAATCTCTGACATAGTAGACTTTAAAGTAAAATCCACCACAAAGGATAAGGAAGAACACTGTATAATGACAAAGGGTCAATACACCAGAAGGACATAACTATAATAAATATTTATGCACCCAATGACAGGTCTCCAAAATACATAAAACAAACCCTAACAGCATTGAAAAGAGAGATACACAGCTCCACAATAGTAGTAGGGGACTTCAACACACCACTTTCGGTGAAGGACAGAACATCCAGAAAGAAACTCAACAAAGACACAGAAGATCTAAATGCTACAATCAACCAACTTGATTTCATAGGCATATACCAAACACTCCACCCAACAGCAGGCGAGTATACTTTCTTTTCCAATGCACATTGAACATTTTCCAGAATAGACCACATATTAGGCCATAAAGCAAGCCTTAACAAAATCCAAAGTATCAAAATATTACAAAGCATCTTTTCTAACCATAAAGCCATAAAATTAGAAATCAATAACAGAAAAAGCAAGGAAAAAAAATCAAACACATGGAAACTGAACAACATCTTGCTCAAAAGCTACTGGGTCATAGAAGAAATTAAAGATGGAATAAAGAAATAAATAGAATCAAACAAGAATGAAAACGCATCCTACCAGAACCTTTGGGACACAGCAAAAGCAGTGCTCAGAGTCGGTTTACAGCAATAAATGCACACATAAAAAAGAAGAAAGAGCCATAATCAAAACATTAGCCCTACAACTGGAACAAGTAGAAAGAGAGCAGCAAAAGAAACCCTCAGCTCCAGAAGGAAGGAAATAATAAGAATTAGAGCAGAATTAAATGAAATAGAGAATAGAAAAACAATTGAAAGAGTTAACAAGTCCAAAATCTGGTCCTTTGAAAAGATCAACAAAATTGATAAACCA